GCTACTGGGACAAGCAGTGGCAGAAGCAGTGGCAGCAGAAGCCACCTGGATGTGTCCTGTAACAGTCATGCTGCTGCCCTGCTCAGGATGGTACCCGGCCCCAGTGGAGTTCAGGTACTGGTCAAACTCATTGCGGTCCACCTCACCCAGAAGCTCAGCCTGGCTCAGCTGGTCTAGAGTCTCCAGGTGACCCTGTGTTTCAGGAGGCGGGGACAGCTGACCCAGGTGTCCCTGGTGGAGCCCATGGTGAATCTGGGGGAAAGATGAGGTACTGTAGTAAGACAGCGGAGGGCCCGGGATCAGTCCACCGCCACCAGTTTGAGACATGTGAGGGATGTGACCTATGTGTGTTCCTCCACAGTGGATTTGGGTCTGAGCGTAGTCAGTGTGGTAAGGGGGCGGGCTGCCCATGTGAGTCTGATTCTGGTGGTGCTCATCTGGACAGGAGGCTGAGGAGGAGACGGAGGAGCTACCAGACGTTGAATAATATGAGGGGGGTACGTGCTCGTGGTCCATGGCATCTAGGGGGGACATCTCAGGAGGGGTGGGCAGGCCATAGGGGTAGGTGTCAAAGCTGCTGTTGGAACCAGCCGGGTCCCTGAAGCTTCTGACACTGGGCAGAGCAGGGCTGGGGCTGGAAAACCTGCCACCATTAGGGCTGCCCTCGTCTTTGTCCAGGGGGTGACAGAGGGCTCGCTGGTCGGGCAGGGCGTTCTGATCGGGGGCCAGGCCGCTCAGGAGGAAGCTGGGGTCCACTCGCTTGCAGATGCGTTTCAGCTGCTTCTTCCGGCGAGGCCGATACTTATAGTTGGGGTAGTCCTGCATGTGCTGCACCCGAAGCCTCTCTGCTTCCTCCACGTAGGGCCTCTTCTGGGGGGGAGTCAGGGCCTTCCAGGACTTGCCTGCAAACAGACAGAAGATTTTAGTTTTAACAAAAAAATAACAATTAGTCTGCAATTTACTTTTTTTTTTTACTCAATGTTTAACCTCTGTCCTAACTCCAAAATATTAAAATGACTAAACACATTTTCTCACTCTCTAACAATTTCTACAATTTGTAAAAATATCCATAAATATGTTCTCGATCATGTTTAAAACTGTAGGTTTATACTCCTTAAATTCATAGGAATAATGGTGGGACATGTTTCCAAAAGATTAAACAAAAGTTAAATAGCATTATAAAACTGACATAACATTGAAAATTAGTCTTCCTTTACTTTCTAAAAAAAAAAGCTCATAATTGTAGTTGACTTCTCAGGTGCCTGACAATTTGTTTTAAAAATAATGAAAGAAGAGTGAAAGAAAAACATTTATAATAAAACTTTAACCCAAACTCATTATTCAGCATCCTCTTTGGCTCGTAACTGTATTTAAGGGACTTAACCTCAAGTAATGAATGTCCTGTTTTATGACCAATAAGCGCCAATTTCACCTTTATTTATAAGAGCATATTTACATGTATTGCTGTTTTAGAATTGGCTTTAAGGTGATTTCAGATTTGCGAGAGTGCCAGATTTTGAGCTTAACATTAAGCACTGATCCAAGCAGCCAAAATCCAACGCAAAATGAAACATTTCTGCTTTTTCCTGTGACCACAGTCTGAACCAATTTTACAGCGACTTTTAAATTGAGGGGCTTCTGGCGACGCGCTTCACACTGCAATGGATGTAAAGTTATGCTGTCTAATTAATTGATTTGGTCTAAAGAACTGCAATTAAAAACGTTGTCTTGGTTATATTCGCTTTAACATATTGTAAACGTTTTATTAGATTTTAATTCACGTATCCTTTTGGCGTTGGAAACAACTTAGAAACTTTTGTAAAACAGTCGAGGCCTGAAGGGAATTACAAGTGTGTTGACGGTTAAAAAGTAGCAATAATAATAATAATAATAAAATAATAATAATAATAACAATAATAATAATAATAATAATTCGTACATAATAAAAAATAGTTAAAACTTTAAATAACTTTCATCTCACCCAACATTTTGCTGAGCTCGGCATTGTGCAGGTCTGGGTTTTGAACTGCCAGCCGTTTGCGCTCATCTTTGGCCCACACCATGAACGCGTTCATGGGCCGTCTGATCCGCGGCTCCGGTGCCTTGTCCACGGGAGTCCTGTGCGGGCCATGTCCATCGGGCACGTCCCCGTCTCCTGGAGGACACTCGAAGGACTCCGGCCACGACGAGTACGCGCTGATGAGGGCTGCCATCTGCGCGCTCTCTCCTCTCCAAACTTCTCGCTCGGTCTTTAAGCAGTTGGGTTCTCTCTTAAAAAAAAACAACAACTACAGAAACTGCTTTTCTTTTTTAGAAAGTAGTTTCACACACTACTACAGCTACAACTAGACTAGATGTCAGAACAGGTTTGAAGGGAAACCACAGATGTGCTCAGCAGCGGCTCCTCCTTGTGAGTTATGATTCAGTCTTTCCTGGTGGATGGGGGGAGCGCTTTATATTTGAGGAGCAGGTTCCAGGAGAAGCCCCGGAGGACGCTCGGCTCCTCCTTGATTGCAAGTTGAGCCCCGTGAAAAGGAAGAGAGAGAGAGAGAGACAGAAAGAGAGAGAGAGAGAGAGCATTTCAACACTACTAACTACTTAAACTGGCCTCACAACAAAACACTTTCCACTGACCGATAAAGACATTTCTGCTCAACCAAAGCCATGGTGGTTAGAATAAGTCAGCATTTGACTATTCTGACTATTATTTCTATACATCCACATAAGACCAAAGTTAGTTAAGCTGTATAAAAAAAATACCCCCAGGAATAATGTGCAATTATTAAAGGAAACTGCATCTCTAATTTAACCTACTGCGTCAGTGCTGCTGTGATGAGTAAGACAGATTTTGCAACTTCTGTTTTTTTTAACTCGTCAGGCAGCAGAATCTCACTTGGCAAACTTCTCTAACCTGTTCTGCAGTTTAACCCACGACATTACACAGGTAACTGCACTGGTTGAACGTTGTTTTCCGATTTCTGTGTGCTCCGAACTCCTAGAACTGCACCAGGCTGTCAGTCTTGATATGCAAGTGGAAACACGACACTACTATTTTTAGAAAAGCCTTTTCTTCCTTCTTTTTTTAATAAAGAGATGCATTTTACAGCAATCCAAGCTTGATACATATATTTTTCCACATAATTCATGTTCAACAATCTAAATGCAAAAAGCCTATAACAAAATGACACTCCCTTTTACTGTTTGGATGAAGATCAATTTTTGGAACGTCTGATCACATCTGTGGGTGAGAGGAGAGATAAAAACCAGTGAGCACACACTACAAACAAATCAGTTTCCTTCTGTGGCCACAGACGGCTGCATATCAAATCCAGGAGTTCCTGTTGACAGGATACTCTTGGGCTGCAGCCATGGAGTAGCTCACACTCTCACACACAAGGCCAGACACACACACACACACACACACACACACACACACACACAGCTCAAATACAGCTACTGATCACAGGTCAGATAGTATCTTGGTTTGTAATATTTATAGAGGAGGGAGTGAACTTACTGCAGATAGTGGTTTTGTTTTTTTTAACTCCTGAAATTAAAGACTTTTCACCTTTCTTTCTCCAGAGTTAATCAACAGGCAACATTGGATCTTAATCAGTGCCTTCTCACCCATCAAACTGAAGTGTCAGCTCTAGCTTTGTGTGAAACGTACCCCCCCCCCACACACACACACACACAGGAACAGGATACGGCACCTGAAGCCACAGATTGTGCGCAGAGGACGCACATCAGTGATATATAGGGCCGCACTCACTCTTGCTGCTCTGACTTTGATGTGAAGTCAGCACAACAGAACAAGTGTGAGCCGAGGTGCACATGCATTACAGCAACGTGTGGGGCAAAGGTTTCACATCATATTTGCAATTTGAAGTTAAGCGTATGAAAGATCTGAGTTGGGGGCTTTCTGAAATGACTAATAGCTCTATGTGTTAACCAGTGTGTGGGTGAGAGCTCTATCAGCCTGCTGTTGTTCACCCTTTCACTGTAAGAGACATGTGGCAACTGGAGACTTGAGGAGGGGGCTTGTTTCTATCCATGTGCTTTAAGAAGTAAGGTTTCAACATAGTTACATTACCTTTTTTTACGCACACATCCAAAATGCAAAATGGATGCAGTGTTAAGCATTATTAGGCTAAAACTAAAAATGGATCACTTTTTCCCCTATTATTTCTGCCTATTATTTCCATAACCTGCTTTTATAAATTAATTTGCAAATTTCAAAATAAAGTGAGCAGCATCATTATGTGCAAATGTCAGTAAACTGGTGGTTGAACCATAATTATGCATTATATTCAGTGTGAGTGAGAAAAAAATAATTTTATTCGATCATAAAACAGCAACATCAGTTGAAAGCAAATGTTTTATTTCATAAGGTATCTTTAAGAAACCTTTTCTAAATTGATAAAATGAGTTTCCCTATAATCTTTTATAGAGCATATATAAAGGTTCAGTTTCTAAAACATCTACTTATCTATTTTGTACTTATAACTTGGACTTTTATTTAATCTATCTTCTATCTGGACTTATGGGTGTGTAAACCTAATAACTCCCATACCTGAGATGCTAAAAGGGATAGTCAGAATGAATAGGACAAATTGACCAATCCAGTTTCAGAGTTTTCCTTTTCTTACGAATCTAAAATAGTGACGAGCAACGCTGTGTTGTTTTTACGTCTAAGACTGGACAGCTGTAGCTTCCTTTTTCCTCCTTTGACTCACAACACCCAGTCCCATTGCTGAACAACACTGGGTTGTTAAGAGCTCGTCTGTCAAGTCAAAGAAAAGATGTTGTAACTTTGTACATCATATTTGGAAGTGGAAAGGGTGACTGTGGAAAGATGTTCAGATTACCTTTACAGCTGATCAGGTGAGACGTGGTACTCAGTGCTCAAATGATGTAAACCTCTCCTCACCACTCTCCTATATGTTCTTTAGATAAATTCACATTCATTTCATTCCAGGAAAAAAACAATCAAACATGCATTCATGAGTAGTTGGATTTATTTTAAAAGACCTGTTAAAGCGCCAAAGTTTGTCTGTTTTCTTACAGCTCATAAATGAATCAGACAAGTTTTCCAGATTACTAGCAAAACATCAAATAGCATCTGTTCACATTTGTCAAACTATAAAAGATCATTTCTGTGTTGTTTTTACTAAATTGTATACTTGTCTCAGGGTCACATTAATGAAGAATTGTAAGATATCCATCATCTGAAGAACCGGACCAGGATGGCTACAACTAATTGCTGACAAGAACATAAAACCCACTGTGAAATACTGCATAAATAACCCTTAATGCTGGTTCACATAAGATGGTAAGGCAAGAATGATGGTATTTGAAAAAAGAAAAAAAAGTTGTATTGCAAAAAGTTTTCCCAAATCATTTGTTGGCATTTTTGTTTTTTTGTTTTTTTAATTAGCAATCTGGACCCTTTTTATTCAAAAAGACAAGACACATGCCAGCACTCAGATATGGGCAAACAGGCTCATTAAAAAGTAGGTCAAAATAATACAAACATCATAAATGTTTGTATTCATATAGAGAAACAGATCCATCTAATAGATTAAAGGAATAGTTCAAAAACTTGGAAAATACGCTTACAGTTGTATAGATTGATACGACTCTCACATTCGTCTGTTAAATATGAAGCTACAGCCAGAAGTTGGTTAGCTTAGCTCAGCATATGGACTGGAAATGGGGAAACCGCTAGCCTAGCTCTGTTTAAAAGTTACAAAAACCTGAGTGTAAAAATGACGTTGTTACGTGGAGCTGCACACTATTTCATAACTTCATATTTACGGTACAGATGAGAGTGATATGCGTCTATCTAACTTTCAGCAAGACGACAATTATGTATTTCCCAAAATGTCTACCTCTTTCTTTACGTTGAGGCATTTTACCGTCGGCTTCAACAGTGGCGTAATCCCAGTGGCTTTACTGGGCAGCTTCTAGGTTTTTAATGTGATCAAATTTCTTAACCACCCCTTTCTCCTCACTGTAGTCACATGTTCTTCATGAACATGTTATTAGATTGTTTAAATACACAAGGCATTTGATTTGCTCATAAAGGCAATGACTCCATACATGTGTGCCACCATGATCATGTTTATGATAACAGGATAACAATGAGAACAACGTCTCCCTGAAGCCTGAACAACTGGTGGAACTGGAGGTCACCTCTATTAATTCCACCCTATTCTCGATGTTTCTTTTTCTTTTTCTTGTCCTTTTTGGATTTCTTTTCTACCAGCTCCTGTTCCTCTTTTACTACATCGTCCACCTCCTGTCTCTGTTTCTTCTTCTTCTTTTTCAGAACAACTTCAGATTCTACAGTCTGATCCTCCGTTGGCCCATGTTCATTTGGTAGCTCAGTTTCCTTATTGTGTTTTTTAAGCTTCTTCTTCTTCTTGGACGGCGGCTCCTCGTAGTTCTGTTCCACACCAGAAGTGGAGCTACAGTTCTCATTTGTAGCTTCTTCGTTTTCGACCATTTTCCTCTTTTTCTTCTTTTTCCCCAGATGCTCCTGCTGTTGGTCGTCGTCGTCGTCGTCGTCTTCTATTACGATAGGAGCAGCACTGTTCTCCTCTGCCACTTCCAGCTCATCTGCTGACTTTTTGCTCTTCTTTTTCTTCTTCTTCTTCTTCTTTTTGGGTTCTTCCGAGTCGTCGTTTCTCATGTGGACGGGACTGGGTTCCTCAGACGGACCCGATGTCTCGTTGGTCTCTGCCTCCACTGATGGCGCTGTACTCTGGGCCTGTCCACGAGCCTTCTTAAGCTGAGCCATTCGCTGTGCAAAATACTCCTGCATGTTGAGAGTGCTTGTCACAGTCTTGGTGATGGACTCTGTGTCAAGTTCAAAAGAGGCAGGAGTAAAAGACTCCTCTGCTTCACCTTGAGAATCACTGCTGCTGCTCTCCTATAGCAAAAAACACAAAGGACAGGACATAGTTAGGATTTAATGCAGCATTTAGAGAATCTACACAGAAATAGACAGCGCACAATGGTGGACAGAGGAGCTTAAGTGACCGTCAATCATCGTGCCGAGATTAACCAGGCAGATTTTAGTGAGTGAAAAGAGCCCAAAATAGGATGTTAATGTAACAATAGGTGTTAAAGGATCCCTTTAAAATAAGCATCTGACATTTATCATCATCTTCTTACAACAGTATGTAGCTACACATCCAGCTGTGTGTCCTTGCACTGTCAGCTGCTCGCTAGCAAAGCGTTCTAGCGTGAAACAATAGTATATGTACCTGATGGATCATATCTCATTTAATAAATACACCATAAGTTTCGACAGTGTCCAATTCACATGGTGCCACTACAGCACCACTTTGACATCAAGTATAATAATATCACTTTTGGAAAATCTTGACATCTTTTAGAATTTTTTACACATATAATTTAATATTTGCAAATTCTAACTAAATGTTACAGCAATCACACAAAGTACTCAAATGTATATACTAGGCTGAGTAATCTTCTTTCCTTGAACATAAATGGTTATTTTAATTAGCCAACAATGACAATTCATTCAAAAGACAAAAACACTTTTTATACAATAATTGTGCAGTTAATAGCTTTGGTTTGTTTGTTTTTTGTGTCCGTTTTGGATTAAACTTTCAGAGGTGTTTAACTTTTTTCCTTTCTAAAGATCACATTTTTTTGGCCTTTTGCTTGTATTAGACACTGACACTGTACAGACAGGACACGTAGGGAGCAAGAGAGTGTGTTACAAGCAACTGAGATCCTCAGCTGGAATTGAACCATGGATATTGTGATCATATGATACAGATCTTACCTACTTGTCAACTAGGATGCTAATAATTTTACAAAACTATTTTGTAGCGTTGTTAAGCCAACATCTTTTCGTTCAGGCAACTCTGGTGAGGATCCACTGCATGTGTGACCATTATTATTCTTTTTGAGATAATAAGACGTTTTCCTCTGAAATAATTGTCGATTTGCAAAGCAACTTCAGATTTCTGTAAGAACGACCCATTCTGGGAAGTGGAAGCTGCTTGGGGGATAAACAGGCTTCAGTGAGGCAGTCAGAAAGTGCTAATAGATGTTAAAATGGAGGAAAGTACTAATTCATTTGTTTTGGTCCAACTGTCTCCAATGGGGGGGGGGGGGGGTTTCAAGTCTGGTTGCCTACTCATTTCTCCAACCTTTAGACTACATTATTAAACAGGGCCAACTTTATAACTCTGAGGTACAACACGGTCTAGATTTTTCTACAGCGTGAACAATTTGTCACCTCACCCCTGCGACCCATTTGTCTTCATTTTCCTAATGGCCTACTCAATGCATAATGATTTGTCCAGAAGAATACAAAGGCTCCTCCTGAGATTCACACTAAACAATACTGCCGCTCTGTGTGTTACCCTCAGAGATGGTGAAGTGGACGGCATTTTTTCAAACCCTGCAGATTAGAGATGAATTGAAAACCCGGTGTTGTGCCAAGTCACCTCACGGTTTGGCCTCTAAGCTTTTACATTCAGATTAGGCTACTTTGATGCTCAACACTGATTAAGATAGACAAGCAAACAGATGGACTAGTGAAACAATGTGGATGTAGATCTGAACAGGTTGAAATGCAGAGGGTACTGTATCCATATTTATCTACATATAACAAAAGTGTCATTTCTTTTAAACTAGCCACCAGGGATTTCAGTGAAGCCCTACAAGCTATTAGTCTTAACCCACTAAAATGCTCTTCATAGTCAATATATTTCCATAAGGGAAACAACCATTGTTTTTTCAACCTAATATATTGATTAATATGGTAAAAAAAAAAAAAAAAAGACTGGTCTGTGAAAATACTACAGGCTCAAATATAGGCTATAAATTAGTCATGAAAAATTATGATTTTACGTATTTTGAGTATAACACACTTGACTATTACATGAGTTACTGCATATTCTGTTTACTGTATTACAGTAAAAAAAAAAAAAAAAAAACGATGGATTCAGAAGCCATCATGGAGGACATGGTTGAGGCTAAATGACCAGGGAGGTGGTGCAAACGGACTACAAAGTTTTCCGCCACCTCAGACCTCGATTAGAAAAGACCCCTAACTTCTAACAAGGGGGGATAAGGCCCTTCAGGTGAGGTGCCATTAAACAAAACTTTCTAACTTCCCAGAGAAAATCTATACTCCCTGTTACTGCACAATGGCATCCTCTCTGCTTGGGAGAGTGGAGATGGGCCTTAGAGCTGACAGCGCCAAACAACATGTAACTGGGATTTGGGAAGATGGCTGGGGGCCACTTTAGAACTGCCTGTGAAATTACTCTCAAGAGAGGGAGAGCGTGAATGAGCGAGGGGGGAAAAAGGAGAAGCAGAGTGACTGAGAGAAACATCTTCATCAGGGGTAGCGGCTGGAACTTGGTATGTGGTTCGTTCCTCGCTGCCTGGGGATCTCCATTAGACCCTGATCCGACAGGAGGGAAAGTGCTGTGCTCGACACACGCGCACACACACGCGCACACACAGACACACACACAGACACACACACACACGTAGAGTATGGATACAGACCTGCAGATCCAGTCAGCATTACTGGCAGCCCTGGTGATTTTTGTTGGTGAGTGTTGAGGGCAACATGTTACCAAGAAACAACTCAGCAGTAATGTTTGAGATCTTGTTTCCCTATTTCCAGGTGTGTGTGTTATTTTCTCTGGCCTGTTATTATCAGTCATCATTTCTGTGTGAGTGCCAGAGCATACAGTATACAGCAGGCATGATACCGTCAGACCAGAGTATCTATATCCCGATACAGGCTTCATGATGAAATATTTTAACAATGCAAAGTCACAAAAAGCTATTTTATTAATTTAAAATATACCAAAATATAAGTGCTGCAGTATTAATAATTTATCATGCTTCCTTTCTTTTCTAAAGAATATGATCATGATTTTGTGTGTAGTATTAATACATAAAACAAAAATAGGAGAAAACAGTGACCTTGCTTTTCTTCAAGACAGTTGACATTTTCTTATTCAACAATTTGAAAAAGTTCTAATGTATTTACCAAGTAATATTAAACAAAATTACTGCACTACTCATTTACATTTTGAATTGTTACTGGACAATGACAACACTTCCTGCAGGTGACTCACAGTAAAACGCCTTCTAATATAGAGAGAGAGCTTCATTTAATTTTTATTTTTCAAATTTCCAGTTTATCAGTGACTATTTTTAGTCACTGAACTGGTTAGGTGAAGCCCTGACAACAAATGACTAAGCCTTTCATACAGTGTATAGTGAATGGGGGTTTAGATAGTGGCAGTAGATAATGTTGATCCTTAAGCAGTGTTTCCTCTAGCATTTTTTTTTAGCAGTGGGGGCAGGCCCGTCCGAACCCCCCCGTTGGCGTTTTACGTATGAAACAGAAGTGACACTTTGCTTGCGACACAAACAAATATATTTACCGTTTTAATGTTTCCAGATGTTTGATATCAGGACGTTGAGCTGAGAACTGACAAGTTGAACGTTGTCCAATTAAAACGGACCCACCGCGGTGACGTTTTTGGTGGAGCTGTTAGTTTAATAGTCGACTTGGAAGAAAGCGAACGTTCTGACAATAAACTACATCAACACAACAGTATGTGGAGTTAAACTGGAGAGCCCCAATAACCTCTGAATAGTTCTACTTGTTGTTAAATTGCAATGTGTCGGCAGGATCATTTAAAAGGCAACCATGACTACATTGTGCATCTGCCTCAGTTCTGATACCATGGTGGCAGAAATTTAACAGCGGGCTGGCCGCCGCTCCAGAATCAACATAGAGGAAACACTGCCTTAAGGATCAAAACTAAATTTAACATAACTTTATACTGACTGCTAAAACCAAATTGTGCAGACCAAAGTTTATTTCCTAGAATAGCAAATGCACTTTAAAAAGGGATTTGCATGAAACTAACATCTCCAGCTCAAGAAGGGACACAACCAATTTGTAATAAAAAAAAAAAAAAATCACTTTACATAATTGCTGGAAATAGAGAAGAATGATTGAAAAAGGCAGTCCCAGGTTCCAACACAGTGGGGTTGAGGAGTGGAGGGTTGGAGAACACACCTATATCCAGCCATGTCTACTCCTCCCCCTCCTCCTCCTCCTCCCGAACCCAGAACCCCAGGAAAAGGATGCGCTCAGTGCACTGTGTGCAGTTCTGAGATAAGGCTCCTTCGGCAGAGGAGCGGCCTGGCTGGCTATCGGGCCCTTCCTGCTCTGCTCTCTCCCCTGGCGGGGGCTGGGGCTGGGCAGGGAACATAGGGAGGGCCCCGCAGAGGGTCCCAGAGAAAAGGAGAGGGTGGGAAGACATTCAACAGCCTGCCTCCTTCAAGACACTCCAGTTCTATCTCTCCCTGCTAATGTAGCCGATGGAAAGCCAACGGTAAGACATGTGACAAGGTGCCAAGATACCGAGGCCAACATATTCAGGAGGAGAGTCAATCAGGCCAGCAGAGGGGATGGTGGGAAAGGTTCACTAGAGTGCATGTGAAACTTTTTTTGACCCAACAAGCAAGCAATCAGCAAATAAACGTATTGAACTTTATTCAATTAATTTACTTCTGACTATCCAAATTCCAAAATCAATACTTTTAGGGGTGTCCTAACTTAGTTTTTTGATCCCACTCCAAGGCCTTTTAAAGTTTGCTAATACCGAGTCCAGTACAATAATTCTTAAATTTTCCCCCTACATTATTCATTAGCTTCAGGGTGTACAATTAAGTACAAGAGTAGAGCAAAGTAGGCCTACCTAAATAGTAAATTAGTAAAACAATTATTTTTTGTTGACACCTGAATGGCTGGTTTCCTTTGGTATTTTTTAGTACTTTAATACCTTAGCGTTGTGTATCTGTAGTTCAATGAGTGCCAGTATAGATCTGCCTGGATTGGTCCTTATCCCG